TGGGTCATATCCTGGGTGTTAGTGGACTGGTGTGGGTCATATCCTGGGTGTTAGTGGACTGGTGTGGGTCATATCCTGGGTGTTAGTGGACTGGTGTGGTGTCATATCCTGGGTGTTAGTGGACTGGTGTGGGTCATATCCTGGGTGTTAGTGGACTGTGTGTGGGTCATATCCTGGGTGTTAGTGGACTGGTGTGGGGTCTATCCTGGGTGTTAGTGGACTGGTGTGGGTCATATCCTGGGTGTTAGTGGACTGGTGTGGGTCACATCCTGGGTGTTAGTGGACTGGTGTGGGTCACATCCCGGGTGTTAGTGGACTGGTGTGGGTCACATCCTGGGTGTTAGTGGACTGGTGTGGGTGGCATCCCGGGTGTTAGTGGACTGGTGTGGTCATACCTGGGTGTTAGTGGACTGGTGTGGGTCATATCCTGGGTGTTAGTGGACTGGTGTGGTGCATATCCTGGGTGTTAGTGGACTGGTGTGGGTGGCATCCTGGTGTTAGTGACGGTGGGTCACATCCTGGTTTAGTGACTGGTGTGGGTCCATCCTGGGTGTTAGTGGACTGGTTGGGTCACATCCTGGGTGTTAGTGACAGGTGTGGGTCGCATCCTGGGTTGTTAGTGGACTGGTGTGGGTCATATCTGGGTGTTAGTGGACTGTGTGGGTCATACCTGGTGTTAGTGGACTGGTGTGAGGTGGCATCCTGGTGTTAGAGTGACTGTGTGGGTCACATCCTGGGTGTTAGTGGAACTGGTGTGGGTCACATCCATGGGTGTTAGTGGACTGGTGTGGGTGGCATCCCGGGTAGTAGTGGACTGGTGTGGGTCATATCCTGGGTGTTATGGACTGGTGTGGGTAACTCCTGTTTAGTGACTGGTGTGGGTCATATCTGGGTGTTAGTGGACTGGTGTGGGTCATACCTGGATTTAGTGGACTGTGTGGGTCATATCTGGGTGTTATGGACTGGTAGTGGTGGCATCTGGGTGTTAGTGGACTGGTGTGGGTCACATCCTGGTGTTTATGGACTGTGTGGGTCAATCCTGGGTTTGATAGGTATGGTCACATCCGGTGTTAGTGGACTGGTTGGTCACACCTGGATGAGTGACTGGTTGGGTCACATCCTGGGTGTTATGGACTGTGATGGGTCGCATCCTGGTACTCACACAGTATGAGGCTGCAGTCGTCTATAAAAGGTATTTTTTGTGATATTTTTGGTTTTGGAACGGATTAATTGTAATTTCCTTATTCTATGGGAAATATTACTCACTTATTCAAACTTTCAATTTAGAGCTGCTCCTGGAACAGATTAAGTTCGATATTTGAGGTTCCACTGTACCTCAATTTAATTCAGAAAAATACACTAATAATACACATTTCCAAGATAAGATTTTTATTGACAAAGAATACATGAACATGTATACAGGTAATACACCTCCATGTATACAGATGATACACAGAGTGAGTATACATTGAGTTAATACACTTGTATGACAGATAGATGGGTAGATGCTCTTATAAGGTCCAACATATGCAGTCAGTTCTCTTATAAGGTCCACTGATTGTATATAGTGGAACTTTATATGAGAACTGCATATAGTGGGCCTTTTAAGAGAACTGACTGTATATAGTGGAACTTTATAAAGGAACTGACTGTAATAGTGGACCTTATAAGAGAACTGACTGTATACATTCACTGACCACCCACCAAATCTTCACTTACATATGGGACAAACGCACACACACGCACATGGAACAATTAAGTACACACACACACGTCTACACAGTGTACACACACATATGGCTTGTTACTCCAAGCCGGTCACCCTTACTAACCCCCATGGTTTTTCAGTGGCTTAAACAATGGGAAAAGCCACTGTTCACAGCTAACCCATCCTAGAGAACTGTTCTCCATTGTTCAACATTGGAAAGTGTTCATTAGAGCTTTTTATGGGGCCTTTCAACTAGCTGCACTTCTTCAGGCACTTTCAATTTTTTTAAGGCCTTATTTCTCATTTAAAAATCAAACTGTCCCAGTTTGCAAAGTTTCTCTTCCAAATTCCATTTCATGGAGTTGAAAAATGAGCAGAATATTCCATTGTAGAGAAGAGTTCTCCTAAGAGAGTTGACTCTGCATTTCAATTTCTGTCTGAGGCTTTGTTTCACTGAAGAGGACCTCAGATGGAGGTTAAGATTATTTTCCACTTGTGGCTAGCTTCAACTCATATCAGCTGATTCACAAATGAAGTTGAAAATAGGCTTAATATTTGGGTTGATGGGAGAGACATTGTAGTAGAGAATTGTGGTGGTGGTGGACAGTTCCACCAAGAGCAGACTTCTGTTCACGGTTGGACTGACCAATTCAGAGGATCCTGTCTGTTAGAAGGTCCTGCCTAGTCTAGGCATATTGGCATAGCCTACTTCCATTTCCATCCATCTACCATCAAGATGCAAGCATTGAAAAAGTTGAGAAAGTTGAAAGAGGAGTCAAGGGTCAATGAGAACAGAAGTAATAAGGGGACCTGACCTCTTAACCTCATCTAAATTCTGTCTCTCTGTCTATGTATCTCTATATCTATCTGTATCAATCTCTATCTCTTACTCTCAGTTGGATGAAAATCAACCATCAGTTCCACAACAAGCAGATGAAGAATCAATCTTCTTTTGGTCCTTCGAACCAGATTGAGTCCTTCGTGCATACTTAATAATATAATGATAATTGTACTTATGACTTGAAATTATACCATGAGCTCTTTCAGGGCTCCCTCTCTGAATTGTGGGACAGTCATGAATTGTTGCAGCCATGGGAGTTTGGCTCTCAGTCACAGTAAGGTGGCCGGCTAAGCAGAGATTGAGTATCGGATGATTGAGTATGGGGGTAAATGGCACTCTGGCCAATGGTGCACAGATTGAGTTTGATTATTATTGGGCATTTTGATATGGGCGGGTCTACTCATGGTCTACCGGGTCCATCTTGTGGCTGGCAGCAGATGGAGATGAAGTTGATTTGGCTGGGAAGTGGAAAGGAGAGGATCTGGAGGAACCAGTGCTGTTCTGATCTAGATTGTTCCCCTGTTATTGCTGCAGAAAGGTTTGCTAGCAAAGGCCTCTGTCTGCTGATTGCAGATTGTTTGACCCGGTGGATTGCATCCATACTCTGTATCAACTGTAAAATATTTATGCACTAGTGCAGACTCCTGACAAAGTGCTGACCACATGAGAGGCCTAGAGCTGCAGCCCACCTTGCCTCACATCTCTTGACATTTAGGTTTGTGACAGGCTCTTGATTCAAGGACCCCCAATGGGCTTAGAGTATTATAGGGGGCCCCGATAACCCTGGTAGCCCAAGTTTAGGCCAGATTCTTTTCAAATTGCCTGGTCAACCCACCTATTGCTGCCAGTAGGCCTATGAGAAGTTAGAAACACGACTAGACAACATCTTCACCTCTCTTAGATGACTACTTACAGGTTTCTCTCATACTATGACAAAGAAATTATCATCAGTCCGTTAGTTTTCACAAAGAGTCAGTCTCTGTAGCATTAATGGGCATCAATAGGTGATCAGTTCCTAGTTAGGGAACTGATCACCTACTATCAAGGCTGAGGGACTTAACACCTCCTATCAAGGCTGAGGAACTGATTACCTCCTATCAAGGCTGAGGGACTGACCCTCATCCTATCAAAGCTGAGGGACTGACCCCCTCCTATCAAGGCTGAGGAACTGACCACCTATCAAGACTGAGGGACAGACCACCTCCCATTAAGGCTGAGGCACTGACCTCCTCCTATCAGGGCTGAGGAACTGATGACCTCCTCCTATCAAGGCTGAGGGACTGAACACCACTTCCTATAAAGGCCGAGGGACTAATCCCCCTCCTATCAGGGCTGAGGGACTGACATTTCTCCTACAAGGCTGGGGGCGACCCCCTTTCAAACTAAGGGACGACCGAAAAATCAGGTTTCAGCAGAAAGATCTTAAAAACTGACACAAATCTATCTTGTTTGTCCTGGAAGACAAAAATATTGGGCCTCAAACTGTCGTCCGGGGTCGACTGAAAGTCGCTAGTGCAAATTTATAACACAGAGTTGCACAACGAAATGGAATGAGCTAAACCTGTTTGAAATTTTGCCTACACCACAGTCTCAAAAAAACTTTTGGGGACACGATCAGCAGAAAAAGAATACAATAGTCTATTTGCTCATAACACCCATTTGACAAAAAAACATATATATATATTTTTTATAAAATAGTATTTCAAATTCATTTGTGGGATATTTTATACCGAGTACTAGCACTGCACAGGTTAGTGTAAGGGGAAGACAACATCCGTATGTACATTTGTATGGCATTAAGGTGTTGTCTGGTCCAGTATTATGTACAGCTAAACTTGGCTTGTACCCGTTGGAGGGGACATAGTTCAGTATACAGGTTAATGGGTAAACACACAGCAATACATTGGATGCCCCGGATGACACATTTTTCACCTGAGGTAAGGATTTTTTAGTCAAATATAGGCGATATAAAACCATGGGGCCGGGGAGGGTTACACCTCAGTCTTGAAAAGGTGGTAAGTTTTTTGGGGGACTGACAGCCTCAGAGTCCCCTCCAGGTCTTCTACTGTCTCCACAGATAAAACTGCCGTAAGGGTTTTAGATGTTGCTATCAAGTGGAAATGATTGACAAAAAAAGGCATCCCGTATTGCTTGGAATTTGTTATCTAGGAAGGTGTTATCTGATATTCTTAAAATTGATGATTTTAGGAAATGAGGTCACCCCCTCCTTCCCTTTGGTCAAATCTGATTGCCCCCTCCCCAGGGGGGGGGCTGTACAACCCCCAGGGTTTAGCCCTTCCCTCCCTAAATACCTTTGGGTTGCTTCAAATACTCAGCAAATTGGGGAAACAATATGGTGAATCCACCCGGGCCCCCTTGGCCCCATAATTTTTCAAAGGCTATCATGGCCCCAAGACATTGCAATGGGCCCCATGGCCCCCCAATCTGCAACGACACAGAATATTGCACTGGTCACTGTACTGCAGTCTCTGGAGGTGTAGTTGACTCTGGTTTTGAGCAATAAAATCTCTTATGTGCCAAGAACGACTCTGTGTAGGAGAATGTGATGTTGCAGGCTTTACAATAGCGGGGGACGTCAGCACCACTGGATGATCCGCTGCCTGCAACTTCCGTGGTTGATTCATTGTCCATCATTGGAGAATGTGGATTGGTTGGAGTAGTGTGGATCTTATCCTCAAATTCCTCCACTTCAAGTTTAACCTCCGGTTCCAGCTTGACAGCAGGTAGTGGAGGAGAGCTAACGGGGTTTCCATTCTCTACTGGGTCACGTCTCTCTGCATCCTCTGTAGAAGAAGCCTCGGTGGATGCTGCAACATGGCCTTCAAGTAGTGCCTGGAGGTCCTGCGTCAACTTGGCATCAAAGCCAACTTTGTGCACCAGTGCTAAGTGCCTCGCCAAGTTGCTGCGATATGGTGCAATGAATGGACAGAAGTGGCAGGAAATGGGCTGGTCAGAGCACTCTGCAACTCCCTCTGCCAGGAGAGCAGACAGTGTAGGGTTCTCCAGGATGACCCTAGGCAGGTCAGCCACTCCCTGGGCTTCTGCTGCCCTCCGGCTGCCATCATCTTCGTCCAGAATGCAGGAGATGAAGTTCTCTTCTTGGAGGTCGTTGGTCCGTTTCTCAAAGTGCATTCGGATGTGTGTGCGCATCCCTCGCAGTGTGTTGCCACGGTAACCACAGATGGTACAGCGGAAGCCTTTGATTCCAGCGTGTGTTTCAAGGTGTTTCTGAGCAGCTGCAGCAGTGGGGGAAATAATGGGGCAGCAGGGGCATTTCCACCCATGTGACGGGGCAGGGGAGGGAGTCATGCACCGATGAGCTGCCTGTAAGGTCTCAGGCATGGCACAGCGGCACCTGGGGCATCGCCACAGGCCTTTAGTCACTCCTTCTTCCCCAGATGCCCCTTCACGCTTGGGGCAGTAATAAGTCTGGTGAGCCTTTAAGTTATCTGGTGAGGTGAATTTGATGCCGCAAGCTGTGCAGATGAATTGCAACAAGGGCTTACTAGGTTTTGCTGCTTCTTTTGAAACAGAAACTGCCGCTTTGGCATTGCATGGTGCTGCTACATCAGGGGCAGGTGTGGGTGAGCCTCTGGAGGTACCAGCACCGGCCTCACCAGCCAGTGTTGCAGCTGCTGGACTCTTGTTGCTTGTACGGCGGTCGTCGTCTCGGCTTCCCGGCCTTGCAGCACAGTAATGCCTCTTGTGCACTTGCAAATTTTCCTCTTTATAAAAGACAATGTTGCACTCATTGCACTTGGCTTCCCCCTGCTTGACGATAACTGGGGCACTGGGTATGGGTGCCAAGCCATTCATGAGCAAATCTGAGTTGAGTAACTTTAGAGCTAGCTCTGGGGGGACACCTTGTAGCCCCTGAGCTAGAGACATACCCCCCAAGCTTTCCAGGCTTGCTAGAAGGCTTGGGAAGCCAGGGGGTAGCTGGGGTAGACCCGGGACCTGAGGTTGCTGCCCAGGGGAACGAGCAGAAGTGGAAGGTCTTGGGGAATCGGGTAGACCTCGTGGCGATCCTATAGTTGGTGCTGCGGATGCCGGACGAGGCGACCGCGGAGCAGACTGTCCATCCGTTTCACTCGATGGTGAAGGCCGAGGTGGAGAGGCCAACAACTTTCCCTCAAACTCCCCAGCATTGTAGGATGACCCTGGATGCAACTTAGGGACAGGCGACTTAGTCGGGGTGTTGACCTCCCGATTCTCCTTCTCATCATCGCTCAACAAGTCCGTCTTGACTGTCAACTTTGGTCGTTTGGTAGTTAGGTCCAGCGGGCACTCACCTTCCCCGCGTCTCTTTCCTGATGCCTCTCCATTCCCAGATTTCACCTTTGACTCATCTTTGGGACTCTGCTTTGGGGGTAAACTTTGATTTAATTGTGGAGATGTCTGGGGAGGGATGCTGCGGGCGGGAGATGCTCCCCTGGTACCAGCAGATGGGGAGAGCATTGGGGGTGGCACTTGCCCAGTAAGTGACCCTGGGGAAAGTGGCTGCACTTGCCCATTAGGGAGAACCACTGCTGCTCCAGCCTGGGGTAGCACATGAGGAGGCAGTAGCTGTGCCCCTGCCACTAGTGAATATGGCACTAGCAGTATGGGGTTGGTGGGGAGTGCCAGGATTGGCTGGCCACTTCCTGCTGCGGCACTGACCATCCCGGCTAAAGTGCTGACAGTGCTGGCACTTGCATCCTCCCTTGCAGGACTCTTGTTCCCACCTTTCAAAACATGACGAGTCTGGCAATAGTGAGTCTTATGAACACGGAATGTCTTCACAGACGAGAATTGAATATCGCAATCAGAACAGTAGCGATCTGTGGCCCTCGTGTCCCCCAGGGGGCCCTGAGATGAGGGTCCTGACCCCTGAGGGCTGGCACTAGCCTTAGCAAGGTCATCTGGGCTGGTGTGGATGTTCATGTGGCCATTAAGGCTGAGTTTGTGGGTGGTGGTGTAAGGGCAGTGTGGACACCTCAGCATCCGGTCGGAATCTTCATCTCCTCCGGCCTCACTCCGCGGGCTGATGCCAGAAGGAGATGTCCTCATTTCCTTATTAACTCCATCACTTTCTGTAAGTAATAAATTTCTTTAAGTACAGGTACACATAAATACAGGTGCACTAATTAATGTATGTATTAACATGTATGGAAATTACCCACCAGGATAACCCCAAAAAAATCAGGCCTAGTGACCTATTCTACCAGGATAACTCAAAAAAGTCAGACCTAGTGACTTATCCCACCAGGATATCCCCAAAAAATCAGACCTAGTGACTTATCCCACCAGGATAACCTAACCTGTTCTACCAGGATAACTCCAAAAAGTCAAACCTAGTGACTTATCCCACCAGGATAACCCCAAAAAAATCAGACCTAGTGACTTATCCTACCAGGATAACCTAACCTGTTCTACCAGGATAACCCAAAAAGTCAGACCTAGGACTTTCCCACCAGGATAACCTACCCGTTCTATTCTACCAGATAACCCCAAAACCCCAGAATTTTAGGAAAAAACACTTGAACCACCCCGGTACACTGTTAAAAAGGGTTTAATT